CCTTCTCTGAGGGTCCCACAGAGGGTCCCAGAGTCAGCCACTTGCTGCGTAAGCAAACAGGAAAGCATCATACCTCCATGAAGCCAAGTGGCTTAGTCCCACGCTCTTTCTGTATCTAAATACTGTACAGGGGATACGTATAGCACAAGTAAAGAAAATAAAGAGTGAAATTGGGGTAGATGGATAGTAAGGGTAGGAAAATAAGATGGATCAGAAAGAACTCAGTCCACTTGCTGGAGATTCATAGCTACTGCAGGACAATCACAAAGTGAATCCTCTGAAATGAATCGATCCAAGAGCAGCTCTTTGCAAATGTTGGGTAAAATCATTCTTTGAAAGCCAAGACTAACACATATCCTACCTAAAAGTGAAATAGAGTACAATATCCAGTCAACAAGGACTTATCTCAAACCTTCACAGAATTAGATGAACTCTCCTCCAAGTTTACTCTCTAATTAGGAGGCCAGTTTGAGACTAGTCAAGTCTGTGGCTTTGACATAGCTATCGCTAAGTCCCACGAATAGTCCTGCTTTCCATTACTCTGATGTAAATCTGACCCCCAAATATTTTGTTTAATAAAAGTACTTTATGCACCTCATTCTTAGCAGACACCTAGAAGCTGCTTAGGTACCTAGAGAATCAGGTACGACTGAGTTCTTACACTACACCAACTGGCTCACTACTACCCAGAGCCGTTATCCCCTAAAAACTAAGTTTGAACTTAGTTTGTTCATAGGTTAGTCTGTTACATGTTCAGAGATGAATGTATGTGTTTCTTTCTGATTTTTGTTTAAGAGATATTTTCTTCTTTTTAACTCTTCAAATGCATAGCCAGTTAATGTTATTAATATTTTCCATTTTCTCTGGAATCCAAATGTGCTTATGTGGGTTCCTCTGCCTCTGTGTGGGTTAGTTTATGTTCTGAAGAATACCACAATGTGAGCGGTGCTGGAGGGAAGGCTGGTGTATGACTTGGATTTTACTTGGAACCCAGGCACAATTTCTCAGCTTCAGTTTCTCAGCCTAGGCACTCTGTCTGTAACATGGAAATGATCCTATCCACCCTACCATCTGGGCATGGGTTAAAAATGTAGCACCAGTGAATGCTGCCATTAACATTGCTAAGTGTAAAAGAAGAAAATTCATCCTATTAAGCAGAAGAAATTATGAAAAAGTAACTTTTGCATCATTATGTTAATACAGTTACAAAACTTCAAGACTTGTGATCAAGCTTCATGTACTTAACAAACTCCTCTGAAAGTACCAGAGAGGCCAAATAACAAAATAATTTACCGTTGTGTGAAGGAAATAGTAAAAACAAATTTCCATTATTGATATTGGTTGGTAGCCTACTTCCCATACGTTTTTCCCTTAGGTATTTTGATTTTATTATTAAAACATTCCCTGAGAACAATCAGCCTTTATTTTCACAGCAGATGCATAGGCGGATTCCTCCTGGTAATAGTGGATGGACCAAGTGTTGCCAGGGTACCATTGGTAGCTTTTTCTCAAGTACAGTTCTTTTACCAAACTTAGATAAAAAACAAGTTATGAGTTTAATGGGACTGGGGGTCTGTGGTGATTGCTTTCATGAGAGATAAAAGCACCATAAAATCCATAAACTTCAACTCTACCCAGCCCCGGTGCTTCTTGTAAATTAATTTCTCCCCAAGGATGGCTACATAAACTGCCCAGGGAAAGCAGTAATTAGATTTGTGTCCCAGGACTTTCCTAGTCATGGCAGCCTGCTTTATAAAGACTCTTCTGAGTGTCCAAGGCACTCTTGAGGGGCTCAAATACCAGCACATGATCCTTGACCCCAGAGATCTCGTGGATTCTTAAGGCTCTTTGTCCACGTCCTGCTGGCCAAAGGAGATGCCCAGCCCCTCCTCCTTCACAGCCTCTTGTCATTTTAATGTGTGCTTGTTGGTAACAGTTCCTTCCAACAACCCTTGAGTGTGTCCAGTTCATTGATTCCCACTTTCTCTTGCTCCAGCTGAGATAATGAATTTAGGAATCATAACACATGCAAGAAAGCTGACGCATAACACATGAAAGTCTCAGCAGGGACAAGATTTCTGATTTGATAGACAAGGGCATTCCTATGAAAGAGAGATAAGGTTTATTGTTCGTGATTTATTACTTGTGATCAGATTAGTATTCAAGGCATCAAAGGACAGAGCTGAGACCAACAACTGGAAGCCACGTGGAGGTAAATTCTAATGCAGCATCAGGAAAAACACTCGTTTGGCACTAGAATGAGCTGCCTTGTAAGGCCGGCAAGCAGGCGTGCTTGACCAGTTAGAGAGGATGCCTTGCTTCCATCCACAGTCAGCCTTGGAGCTAGACAACGAGACCTTGGAAAGCCCGTCTGACAGGAGCAGGAAGATTCCTAGTCCATTAATGAGCTTTCTCAGATGTGAGAATTCCCTCATTACTCTAGGGCTCCTCCTCCCCTGTGGGTTTTTGCAGAAAGCCTGTGGTAAAAATGTTTCACATTCCCAGACCTTACTCTCCAAGCCCAGGTGAAAAGGTAACCTGACAGAGCTCCACCGGAGACCCCCCAGGACATAAAGCACAGAGGCCAGAGAATCCAAGGGTCACATTCTCTTGTCTTCTCAGAGGCCCACAGCTCTTTCTTCTTTCTTCTCTTAGAACAAAGGTATTTGTTGAGCTCACCACATGGTTCTTAAGAACTTAGAGATTAAAAGGGAGCCTAGGATACTGCACATATTCAATAACTCTTTGTTGAAAGAATGAATGAAGGCATTTGAAAAGCAAAAGGAGAGAGAAGAAAGTGCTTGATCCAAAAGTGAAACATCGGAGCCATTTCAGACTCATCGGTGAAAGAGGGGTGACGTAGTGATGGCTCCTCATTCTCAGGTTGAGCTGAGGATTTCAGTATATGCGGTGTGTAGTGTGCTCAGTGAGCTCCCTTTCCCATTACTGCAATGGTTGTTATGACTACCAGTTTGGGCACTGCGGTCTGGGAGGCTGGAGAACAGGAGGACGTGTTTGGGATTAGAACAGGGCTTCTGCCCCTTTCCTCTCATAACATATCAAGAGCCATTGTATCATCTCGGGCAGGACTTCTGTCTCATTACTTCTCATATTTTACATCAGGCCAGATCCTTCCCCATCTCCTGGGACTGGCAAGCTGTCTCACACTGACTGTAAGAGGGAGAGGCAGGACTTCTGTTGGCAAAAGGAGGCTCTTTTTTGTTCAGAGCTTTGACTTTCTGAGAACTGGAGACTAATGCTCTTTGCTTTGGTGATTATAAAGCTCTCTGTAACATTTTAGATGCTAACATTACAGATGTAAGTGGGTCTAGGGCTTTGAAGGGAAGTGAGGGCAGTTTGAGGAGATTTTATACAGTTGTCCCACAGTATTGGTGGGACACTGGTTCCAGGACCCCTGTTTAGACACCAAAGTCTGTGGCTGCTTCAATTCCATATATATAAAATGGTGTAGTATTTGTGTGTAGCTTAAGCACATCCTCCTGTATACTTTACATCATCCCTACATTACTTACAATACCAAACATAACATAAATGTATGAATAGTTATTGTACTGTATTGCTTAGGGGACAATGCGGGAAGAAAGTGTGCATGTAGCTTCTCCTGAGCCGTTTCCAACCATTATTGGCTGATGCCCTGGATGCAGAAGCAACAGAGGCGGAGGGCCAGTGGTGCAGAGCACACCTACTGTAAGCCATACAACAATGAGCCTGCGATTTAAGTTTTAAGGTGCTAATCCACTGTCAGACTGCGAAAGCCAAAATTCACATTGTTTTACAGCTTGTCAATTCCAACCACGCACCTGCCAATCACTTTGGGTAGGGTTGGCCTCTGCTTCTGCGAACCACAAATGAGGAGGAAGCTGGGAACAACCTGGGGACATCAGGACTTCTTTTCCTGTGAGAAATCTGCATTTTCAATGCAAGACCTCTGTGGAGAAGGGTAAATTTACTACAAGGCATAGGGATAAATAAATGGAGAAACAGTGTCGGCATGGAGAATTTCACCTACCAATCTAAAGATGTAGTCCCCCAAGTCATGCCTAACTGCCACCTGACACATTCTGTGCTAAGATCCCTCCTTGGCTCTAACAATTCTGGTGAAAGGATCTTTGCTCCCTAGAAGGAATAGAACTCTTACCAGGTGGGTGGCCAAGGCAGTGATTAAGGGCAGTGCAGTTCAAATCACTTATTATCACTTTATTAAAAACACAAATGCTCAAGGGATTCTATTAGTTTTCAGTAGCTATAAATGATCCGGTTGCTAAGTGATGCGAGGGGCTAGTTATCCAGACCTCTAATTACCCATGTAGCCAAATGCCCGGTGAGTCAAACTCTAAAATTATCTAGTCATGCTAATGGACGTAGACACAGATGGAAACCCTCAAGAAAAGCTGAGGACAGCAGGTGGCTGGACCTGCCCTATTAGCAAGTTAGACACCAAGTACTTCGCAAATAAGCAAGCAGCCACAGGTTCTTCAAAAACCTGTCCAATGTAATGGACTCACCGGTCCCTGTGACATAACCAGCAGGGACCCAAGCTGCAGCTTCACCATGTGTACTTTGTAGCTCTTTCCTTACAAATTCGAGATGTGTATGGTACAGCAATTCCCAGAATGGTAAGCCATGCTCTTCCTGTTCTTAAATAAGAGAAAATTGGAGCATGAATATAAGTCATTTGTTTATTTTCAGATCATGTTGTATAAGTCACAGCTCAGGCAGATCCTGAATAGTTACTTATTTATTAAGTATAGGTAGTCACAAAAGAGTTTTAGATAACAGAATTGTCTATTTGTTAATCTATATTTAGAGTGCCTCTCAAAAATAACTTCTCCAAGCCAGGCATGGTGGCGCATGCCTGTAATCCCAGAGCTGGGGAGGCTGAGGCAGGTGGATCTCTGTGAGATTGAGGTCAGCTTGGGAGACATAGTGAGCTCAAGGCCAGTATGAACCACATAGCAAGACTCTGTCTCAAACACGACACAACACAACACAACAAAATATAACAGAAAAGAAGCTACTATGCACAGGAGTAAAAAAAAATTACGAGTGTCAATACTTGGCTTTTCAAAGACCATACAAGATCTCTATGGGGAAAGTTAAATTTTATTACAAGACATAAAGGACTAAATAAATGGAGAAAGAGCTTTTCCACGTAGAAAAGTTTAGTCTCCCCAAATCATGCCCCAGCTGCCATCTGACAGCCTTGTTTCCATGCTCTAGGGGTTGGGAGTGATGCCGGCCGTTGTCAAGGCAGGATGTCACATTTTGTGTAAGACTTCAGTAACTGCTGGTCACCAGACAGGATCGTGTGACAGAACATCCTCATGGGGACCCCGGTAAGGAATTACTCATTAAGTAAACTGTGATGGAACACGTGCGTGACCCCCTAGGTTAAATGCTTATTTGGGATTGGCTGATGACTATAGGTCACTACCACTAATTTGGAGATATTATGACAAAAGGCTGCTGCTGACAAAAATATTAACTATAAATGATGAAAAAAATTTCAGCTGGGACCAGAAGAACATCTGGAGGCCGTTAAACTGGAGAAATTTCCCTCTAAGTCTCTATTGCCAAAGTTTGATCCACCCACCCAGAAACCGTGGCCCTCATGCTACTCAGTGTTTACATTTCATTAAAGATGGTTTCAAGGGTGTCGTTGGTGCTCTGCACAGCCCGGCTCCTGTGCTGACAGCGTGTGATCTTGCTGGGCACTTCCTGGCGCACAGCGGAGTCCTCCCCTCTCGGGACTGAAAAGTGAGGCTTCTTGGAGAATAACCTCAGGTTCCTTTTCCATATTTACGAGCCCATCAAAGATCTGTGGGCCACGAAATCTTGAGAACAATGAGAAGAAGAAAATTAGACAGAGCTGGGGCTGTTGCTCAGTGGCAGAGCACTTGCCTATCATGTGTGAGGCTCTGGGCTCAATCACCAGTACCACAAAAAAGAAAAAAGAAAGAAAGAAAAGAAAAAAAAATTAGGATAGAGGATCCAACAATGAAAATATCAAAATAGAAATTACTGTGCTATGATTTGCTCTTAAATGTCTAACAAATCTATAGTATGTCACGGAAATGACTAATGGAAACTTACATAATTTCTGCTATGTATTGGTTTCCCATTCCTGCCACGACAGATCACCATGAACTCAGTGGATTAAAGTAACACAGCCATTAACTATTCCAACACAGGTCTCGGTAGACTAAAATCAAGGTGTTTCCAGAGCTGCATTCCCTCCCGCAGGTCCTAGGGAAGATCTGATTGCTTGTCTTTCCCACCTGATAGAAGCTGCCCACAGTCCTCAGCTTAGCTTAGGACCCTCCCTCCATCTTCAAGGCCAGCAAAGCCTCTTTGTCTATGGTTACATTTTCCTCTAACCATGCAGGGCAAATTTTTCTATTGAAAAATGTATGGGATTTGTTTGGGATCACTCTATTAGTACAGGATAACCACCCCCATCTCAAGACCCTTAATAATGTCTGCACAGTCCCTTGGAAAGGTAACATATTCACAGATTCTGAAGGATAGGACTGGGACATCTTTGTGGAACCATATTTAGCCTATCAAAAGTTATTTCCAGCACTGCTCTGGGAGACTGAGTAGAGAGAATCACAAGTTTGAGTTGCCTGGGCAACTTAGCAATATTCTGTCTCAAAACTATGTTTTAAAATGGCTGGAGATGTAGGTCAGTGAAAAGGTGCTGGGTTTATCCCCATTAGAGAGAGTGGGGGGGGGAGAAAGAAGAGAAGAAGAAGAAGAAGAAGAAGAAGAAGAAGAAGAAGAAGAAGAAGAAGAAGAAGAAGAAGAAGAAGAAGAAGAAGAAGAAGAAGAAGAAGAAGAAGAAGAAGAAGAAGAAGAAGAAGAAGAAGAAGAAGAAGAAGAAGAAGAAGAAGAAGAAGAAGAAGAAGAAGAAGAGGAAGAAGAAGAGGAAGAAGGGAAAGAGAGAGGGAGGGACGGAAGGACAGGAAAGAGAAAGAATCAGTTTCCAGAATCCAAGTAGGAAAAAGATTTGAAATTCAAAAGTTCATTAATAACTTCTCATTGCCATTTCTTTTAGAACTGAATTTTGCCTTAGAAAATATGACAGAAGTTTTCAATACATACAGCCTTAAAGGAAACAGCCTACAAAAGTCTCAAATCCAGAATGAACCTCTTTGATGAAAGATTTCCAATTTCCAACACGATTATTTCAGTTTTGCTGGTAAACATGAAACCCATTCAGCCCCATAGACTTGTACTGGACATGAAATGATGGCTCTCTGGAAACAGCAAAATGTTTATGGAAAGCAAAAGCTCGTTTTCCAGAATGCGTGGAAGGGATGCAACTCTTGGAACCCGCGCTACGCAGCCCTTGCCTGGAACCCCCGCGCGTGTGAGGGGATGTGCGGGTGTGGCGCGTGGGTGTGCAGGGGCGCTGCGGGGCTGCGGATGTGCAGGGCAGAGGGCGCCAGCGGGGGAGGAGCCAGCAGCACTGGCCTCTTCCTGGCGACTGCAGGTCCAGGCGTGCTGTAGGCAGCTGCTGCTTTCCAAAGCCACCCCCGTCCTGGCTGCTCCTCTGCAAAAGACGTTTCTTCTGCCCCGGGAAGCACAGATTTGCTCGTGTTTTTCTTTCATAACAACCTGGAGCCAATCTCAAGTTGTAGTCTGGATCCCAGTCCAAAATGGGCTACGTAAGTAACATCAGCGAGTGTCCAGGATCGCTGCTTCTGCCTTTGGGGCGTGGCTCTCTCTGGCTGCCTCCGCCGCCCTTGTTCCCTCTTCAAGCCCGGGATCCTCTCAGGAGGTGTGGGCCGTGCTCGTGCTCAGGTCTCCTGCGTGTGCTCCAACGCATGTTTTTGCACAGGACAACTTAGTAAAGGCAAAGGCACCATTTGCTGGGCATCTGTTCACTCCAGCGCCTGAGATAAGAGTTTTGAGGGCGTTGCTACATTTAATGCTACCTAAGATGGGCCGCACCGTCCGCCCCATTTCCAGGTGGTGGAAGTCAGGTTTAAGGTGACTTCCAGTCCCCACAGCTGCCGAGCACTGGGGCTGGGGGGAGCCAGGAGCAGTGAGCCGAGTGAGCACCTTCCTCAGGTGACAGGTGTAAAAGGGAGCCCAGCAAAAGCTGTCATCGGGATAAAGAATACGTTAATGAAATCATTTTAAAGATCAAAGCTAATAAAAATGTCACATTGTGCAAAATATGAAGGTCCGACCTTGTTGTGGGACCCAGAAGTGCTTTCCTGATTCCCGCACTGGCCCCACTGAAGACTCCTGTCCTGGCTGGGATTTGAACCCATGACAGGCGGAGACGCTCTCTTGCGGAGTCCTGAGGGACTCGTCTGCAGCAGGAGGCCGAATGCGCCTACATGGTCTTCAACAATGAGGACGAGGGCGTCCTCTTGCCCCTCGCTCTGCCTCGCGAAGGCGCCACCCCAGCGAAACCAAGGGACGTCCGCCAGGGAGGGTCAGGTGGCCTCTGATCTCCGTCGTGGGTCACAGACACCCGGAGACTGAGCCCTTCCCCCGCAGAGCAGCAGTGATCCACTCCTGTGCAGACTCCGCTGGGCGGAGGAGCCTGGGCCCGCACCTGAGCCTTCCAGGATGGTTTAGTTGCTCTTCCCTTGGCCACCACACCGCTGCTGATGGCGCTGGGGGCCTTTGCTCCCCTAAATACACGTTCCTTCCCAAACCCATGCAGGGCCGGCCTCCTCCTCACTCCTTCCTGCTTTCTTTCCGGTACTGGGGATTGAACCCATGCTTGCACTGAGGCCCCAGCCCCAGCCACTGCTTTCCTTCTCCTTCTTTTCTCTTCCTTCTCTCCTTCTTCCCTCCCTCCATTTCTTCTTTCCTTTCTTTCTTTCAATACCTAAATTGCCTAGGATGGGCTTGAATTTGTAATCCTCCTGCCTCAGCCTCCTAGAGTGCCAGGGTTTCCAGTGTGTGCCACACAGCTCTGTCTCCTGCAACTGGAGCCTCGCCCTCCAGCCCAGGTCTGATCACTGCCTCGCCTTCTCAGGACCCAGGAGGAGCTTCCCTGGAGCCTGGAACACTGCCCAGAGCGCTTCCCTCCCGTCTGCTCTGTTCCCAGCACACCTGGACTTCTGGTCCATCCGCTGCTGCAGCTTTTCCTCCCATACGTCTAAACGCTAGGCTTCCACTCCAGCACCCCGCTTTAAAGCCGCTCTGGGTGCCGCGGTGGGATGGGACAGGACAGGACACAGCTGCGGAGGACCTGCCGGCGCCGGGAGCCGCAGCGTAGTCTCTGAGCCTCCTGCTCCTCTGGGCTGTGGCCTCGCTGCCCCTGCATCTCACGTCGTTCCAGCTTTCACTGTGCAGCTGAAAAGACAAAATGCCCCTGTTCTTTCTCATTAAAGCGCAAATTCGACTTCCTCTGTTTTTATTTTCTGCGGATATTAATAAGCGTGTTCTTAATGTATTCGCTCCGCAGACTCCGCTGGGTCCTACGGCGAGCTCTGCTGGCTCATGGATTTTTTTGACAGAGGCTCCTGTCCTCTGTCCAGCCTGAGCTCACCCCAAAATCCATCTGCTCCTACCCGATGACCCTGGCCAAGAGGGTCCCGGTAGTTTCATTAAAACGAGAGAATGTCCTAATCTATCTAGCCTGAAGACAGCTGAGTTTAACGCCAAGCCAGAGGAGCAACGTTCTCTTCCTGAGACGGCAGACAAACGCCAGTGCAAATTTCCTCCAGGACACAGGGCTGTAACCTTTGCCGATTGTACTGCACAGTGCAGCCCTGTAGTTTTATGTCCCCTTACACATTACTTCTGCATGTAAGTTATATGGAAACAGCAAAGACATCCAGTTGGAGTTTCCTGGGCCGTTTCTTTCTTCTGAATAATGTACATATTATATGCAATTCCTCCTTTAATGACCCAGTCACAGGAATAGAGCTCAGTTGTTAAATGAGCGATATCTGTACTTACACAGAAAATCTGGGACACCCCAAAGAACATTATTTAAATGTCAGCCTCAGATCTGTGGATGGAACTCAAGCTGTCCAAAACTCTTAGCCAGTGTACAGGGCTGAGTTTGAGTCCTAGCCCTGTAAGGAAAAACAAATCAGTCATTGGCCAACTCAGAAAGGTAATAACAACTATATGATATGTTTGAAAGTAAACTCTGTCCATATCTTCCCTACCTGTTACAGTTTAGATCTGATGTCTCCCAAAGGCCGTGTGTGGAAGGTGTGGTGAACAGCCCTGGTGCTGCTGGAAGAGGAAGTGAAACTTTTAAGTGGTGAGGCCGAGTGAAAGGATCTGGGCAATGCCCTTGGAGGGGTATCAGAGCCCCCAACCCTCACTGCCATGAGAAGAGCAGCTCTACCCCACCACACCCCTCACCGTCATGTACTTCCTGGCTACAGGCCCAAGTAACAGTAGAGATCAGGCGCGTTCAGGGTGGGATGGTTGTGGACTGGGCCCAAGTAACAGGACCAAGCAACCATGGACTGCAACGTCTGAAAACATGAGCCAAACTAAAGCCCTCCCCACACAAGCTGATTATCTCAGATATTCTGTCACAGTGATAGAAAGCTAGCTAACACATTGCCCATACGGAAATTACATGTTTTTAACCAGAAATTATCTCTTATTATTCTTACTGCTGTACTTCCTGTGCTGGTCGACAGGAACCTGAATATAAATCACTGGCTGCATTCTTGCCACTTTCTGAGATAATCATAGGTATTGGACCCGAGGTTGTCTCCAGTTATTGCTGCTTAAATCCTCTGTGATAAAGCCTTAGAAATTAAAATGCTAGAAAAGAAAAGAAATTAAAATGTTAGGTGAAGGAATATATAGTTTTTAAAGCTTCTGATAATATAATAACAAATTGCCCTTTAAAAATTTGCAAATTAACACATTCACATGATAGTGTAAAACCACCAGGGAAGCTTGTTTTCTGCAAAAGGCATCTTGGTTAAGAATGAGAACATTTTTTTCTGAGTGTCAGAAAGGCAGCCCGGGGAGGATCGCTGCAGATGGCCATGTGGTCGCGGCCTGGTCTCAGCGCTCTGCACTGGCCCCACCTGGGGAACTTTCAAGACCCACCAGTGCCCACCTCTCTACTCCTGGGGGCCTCAATTCTATTGGTCTTCACTGGGCCTGAGCATGGTTCTGTGTGGATGCTTTCCTGCTGGGTCTAATGTCAGCCCCATTGGGAGCCACCAAACCAAAGGATTTATTTTTTTGCCTCCTCCCTCTTTTTTGCACTTTTATTAGTACATGTTTGCAGTCAGGGTAGGGGATTGATACACCTATGCAGTACATTTCAAATCCCTTCTTTTTCACCTCCCCTCCACCTCCGTTTTATTTTTCCAGCATGAGACTCATTTATTTATGTTATAAGACCTCATACAGTTAATTATCATATGTGCAGATTGAAAAGCAGACCGATAGGCAAAAAATCATATAAGGCATGCAAGACAATTGTACTAAGTCAAGGCACACTTCAAGATACATTGTCCATGCTGGATCGTAATATCGTTTTTCCTATTATCTGTCTTTATTTCATAATATATTTTATCATGTAAGAGTGACCGTTTTTTAAGTGGGAAATTTTCCAGAAGTTTGGTTGGGTTGCTCATGGGATGACCTGACAGATTCTTAAGTTTTATCCTTAATTCTTTAAGTTCATGAAAAGATACTATTGGGGAAACTGTAAGAGTTCATAATCGTCTGAAAGGAGAACACAAGTGGATCCAAGACAGATTTTCGGTGGCGTCGGAGAGTCCCACAGTGGCGGCCTTCACGGCCTTACTAAGGCTGCAGCCAGAGGCTGAGTTGGGGGCAGCGATGGGCTTCGTGGTGGGGACTGGAGCCAGGTGGACACATCCTGACGTTGGGAACAGCCTGCACCAGCGGGAGTGCGCGTGTGGTTTTAGGGTCACACAGACCTGGTGTAGACCTGAGTTCTGTCACATGTCCGCGCAGGGCAGGGATCTTCTGGACCCCATGCTTCCATCTGGGAATCTGGGCAGCTGGGCCTCAAGCCAGCCTGGCCGCTCACCACCAGCACCTCTGAAGTCGGTCTTTCCTTTCACTCAGAACTTTCGACATCCAAGCAGAGAGATGGATCTTTTGCAAAAGAGAAAGGGGCCGAGAGGTGGAGGGAGGTAAGGGAGGGACAAAGACCGAGATGTGCTATATTCCGTACCCACTCCCACGGTGGGCGTCTCACCGTGTACCGCAGACTCGTACCAGTAAAACTGAAGTTTAGAAAGTCCAGAGGGGAGCAAGCGCATGAAAAGGAAACATCCCACTGTGTGATCTTTAAAAGGCTATAATTTCGAGTCCCTCTTATGGGTGTATGTGTGCTGTAGGACTTCAAGTCCACAGCCACCCTGGGAAGTAGGTATTCGCATTCCCATTAATGGGGAAAAAACATATTCAAAGGAAAATAATGTATCCACAGTCACACAGCTGACACTCGGCGCAGTTGAAATTAGAACACAGCATGATTATAAAACCTTATTCTCAAGCTGTCTCACTACAAAGGACTACAAAGTCCTGCTGGTTAGAACAGGACTGGTAATTAAAAGGTAAACTACTCAACTGGAGATCTACTCAGGTTTTTTCTTTTCTTTTTTTGGTTTTTTAAATTCTTAATTATTGTGGTTCTCTAAACCTCTACCAGATTTTTTGCAGAAATAGAAAAATCCTAAAGTCCTATTGGTTTTCTGGAGACGTCCAAGTAAACCACATCAACATGACCTACCCACAAAGGAAACACATCCTCAACTCACCCTTTTCAGCTGGACTTCCAAAGTGCCAAGATCCCTCCAATATCCCCCAAGGAAGCGAGTCATGAAGGAAGGCAAAGGCCTTCAAAGGCCTACAGCAAAGACTGCACTTCTCAAGGCTATGAAATAGACGCCCGCATATCGTACTGCTGAGGGCCTATTCGAAGCGGCCCATTCTAACCAGGGCACTTCAGGGTTATCTTTACCATCTGCAGCGAAAGGTCCCCAGTCCAGTCCTTCTCTAGTTCAGAGATGTTTTAAAATGGGATGTGCACTTCCCATTTTAGTGGCTACAGACACATTTGTAATTCAAGAGGAAATAATGATTAATGTCAGAGGTAGCATCATTTTCTGGGACTGGTATTATCTATGAAGGAGTTCCCTTTTAAGCCTAGAAGCTGATAATTCTCGATTCCAATTATTTACATCCATCACAAAAGCAACTTCAGATCTAGAAAGACGCAACTTCAGACCTAGAAAAACCCGGGTTTTCAAAAAAGAGAAAACCTAATCGGAAGAAGCCATACAGCCCAGGCAAACTCCAGAGCCACGGGGTCCTTGTCTGTGGGAAGCAGTGGACACCTAGCCAGCAGGTGTCCAGGAGCAGCTGCTCTGTCCAGAGAGCCGGAGACACAAGGCAGACTCTTTCCCAAGGGACGTGTCTCACTTGGGGAATTTATATGTAGTTAGTGCGAGATAGCATCTGACAAATGAAATGACTGTCAGAGGCCAGAAGTGTGACCTCGAAGCCATGGATGTTTTTGACACTCTGTAGAACAGGTGCAGCTGCCTCACCTGAGAGTATGCAGCCTGTCACCCAGCCAGTCCAGCTCTGCTAGGGACAGCGGCTGAACGTTCTCTTCAGAAGGCTTTGGAGGGGCTCAGAACTATACAATGGAAAGAAAACACCACAAACCCCCAGTTCTATCCAAACTTTATTGCTTTAGGTCAGAAGCATCATGTGTGTGTGTGTGTGTGTGTGTGTGTGTGTGTGTGTGTGTGCGCATGTGCTTCTGTTTGTCTTTAAACAGAAAAGAGTATCATGTTCAGGGAAGAGAAGAACAAAAAAGCTGAGTTCATCCTAGGTTTAAAAATGATCAACCCAACATACTACTTTTCAAACTAGCTACACCCTCTAAAATAATTTTTAGGTCATGGTTTTGAAATTTCAGATGATTATTCCTCACAAATATTCAAGTACAAATGATTTCTTGCTTCTTGGCATGATCTTATGTGAGAAAGAATCTTGTCCAAAGGACCTCAAGGGGAATCTGGCTGGAATTACAGAAAGGGGGGAATGCTCGCTCTACCCTTAGGGCTCTCACATTCTTGTCTTTTTTAAAGCCACCACATCTTTCTTTGAATTAAATGGTACAGTGAGCTCAATAGAGTAATAAAAAATAGTAAAGTTCTGGGACTTTACTCCCCTCACCCTCCATGTTCTGGTCACTGTTAACCTAGGTGGGTGGAGCTAACAGAACCCATCAGCACTGCCAAGTGCGGACGTTAAGTGACCCCCACAGGCTGTGTGGTAAAGGCTTAGCGCCCAGTGTGGTTACTGGGAGGTGGCAAAAACCTGAAGAGACAGCTGCTGGGACATCTTTGAGTTATGGAACTGTCCCTTCGAGGGCCTGTGGGACCTTGCTCTCTCTTTTGCTTCATGGCCATGAAACAAGTGACTTTGCTGCCTCATTTACTTGCACCAAAATGTGTGACTCTGACTCAGGTCTAAAGCAAAGACGACAATGGGTCACACCCTGAAATATTGAAAACCACAAGCCCAAACAAAGCTTTGCTCTTTATTAGTTGATTCCTTCCAGTTTTTACCAACTTGTAATTGGAGCCATGTCCAAAATATGGAATGAGACTGTTACAAGGCTTCTTTAGAATTGGGAATAATCAAAGACTAGGACACCTTTTGCACTGGTGGAAATGTTCTATTTCTCTACTTCTCAGAATGAGCCACTGGCCATGTTGTCTTTTGAGCCCTTAAAATGTGGGTAGTAGGACTGGAAAGGAATGACAAATTTTACATAATTTATTTAATCTGAATGAAAATTTAAAGAACTACATAAGGACATGGACTACTGTGGTGGTGACTCAAATGCGGAGTCTGCAGAAATAGCTGTAGTTAGCTCTTTGCTATCATATCGAAATACCTGAAATAAGGAACTTAAACAGAGGAATGCATATTCGAGGTCACAGCTTTGGAAGTTTCAGCCCAGGGCTGGCAAGAGATAGTTAAGCCCAGGGGGAACGGTTAGTAGCGCAAAGATGCTCACCTAGTGGAGGGCAGGAAGCGAGAGAGGAAGGGGCTGTGTCCCTTGAGGGCAGGCCTTTTTCTGTGACCTGACTCCTCCCACTAGGTCTCACTCCTAACGGCTCCTGCCCTCCCAATACCAACTCTCAGAGGACCAAGTGCCTAACACATAGGGCTTTGGGGACACCAAGATCTGCACTGTCTTGCCACCCTCTCTGTGGAAACATCTGCAGAGGCAGGACATCTCCCCATCCTAGTCTTCTCCCCACTCCACCAAAAGGAAGGTGCACACGAGAAACTTTTTGTATTAGTTTCCTATCACTGCTGAAACAAATTACTGCTTAGTGCCTTAAAACAATGCCAGTGTACTGGGTTACAGTTGTGGCCCTCAGCGATCCAGAATAGGCCAGCCAAGCTGTGCTCCTTCCCAGGCCTATGGTGGTGAGTTTTCTTGACTTTCCAGCTCTTAGATGTTGGCATAGCCCTGGTCTTGTGGTCCTTTTCTCCATTTTCCAAGCCAGAACTGTAGCATCTTCCTAGCTCTCATTCTCTTCCCATCAGCACACCTCCTTCCCTCCTCTGACCCTAATCTCCCACCTCCATCTCTAAGCGTCCTTGTAATATGCCAGACCCATGATCTGAGATGACCTTCTACCCCCAGATCCTTCACAGAATCCCCTGCAGAGTCATTTTGCCATGAGGTCACATTGCTATTTAGAAATTGGGCTGTGACATCTTTGGAGGGCTATTACCCC